TTCTTTGCCATCCGTACGGTCTTCAGACGGTCGGCTGGGCAAATAGTAGTTGCTTCGCCTTCTTTTCTGGATACATTCTCAATACGTGCCAAAACCATCGCAGCGGTGACTTCTTAGTCTGATAAAGCAGCGGTTGTACACCAAGGCTCTCTCGGATTTCTGTTCTCCTAACCCTATTCAGATGCGTGAGGCCAGGGATTCGTCTCAGTAATCCTTTTCTGCCGTCTGTGCCCGGGATCGAAGTTTTTCCGTCATGTTCTACGACTCGTGACCGTAGGTTAGCATCAGGGAATGGAGATCGAGTTGAACACCGAGAGCTTAGTCTTCAGCTTTATTTCTACTTTAGTCACAGCGGTTCAGGCAGATTCGTGCAGAACGCCACTGGCGATTCAAATTCGCTGGTCGATCTCTTCCTCCCATTTTCCATCAGAAGTAAACATAATCCCAGGTACTTCAGCTTCTCTACTTGCTCCATTGCTTTTCCATTTTTTCTGAAAAGAGTAACGGACAAGTAAACGAAAAAGCACCAGGCATTCTTTTTTAGGCACGTTGACAGGCATGCCCGCCATTTTGCACTCGTGAAACTCTGGGAACCACTGGAAAAGAGCGCGCTTGAATTCAGTTTCAGATTTCGACAAGACAAGATCTCTCTAATCAGCAATCATATCGACTCGACATATCCTATGCTGATGCATTCATCGTCCTGGCTGCACCTGACTGTTCTATCCATGTACAACATACGCGGAAGAGGAGACAGAATGCAGCCGCGGTGGAACCGGTGTCAACGCTGAAAGATTTCATCTTAACGCCATTTACTCTGACGCAGCACCTTCTATCAGCATATAATGATTGGCTGACGGACATCAACTGGCACGCCGATAGATTGTTGCGCGGATCTGTTGATAGACTTTCTCTAAGTCCATAAGGCAGATATAAATCAGATGAGCGAACTCCTACGATTTCTTAACAGTCAGGCGTCGGGCAAACATCTGATTGGGTGTAATTCGGTCTGACCGGAAGCCACACTGCTCTTGTATTTTGGAGTCAGTTATTCTGCTGCACTTCCTGTTTAGCATCTTTGGGTAGACTTTACCCTCGACACTCAGTAAGGTATTGAGCTGATAATTGGAGCATTCCCTGTGGTCTTCGATCTTGAACAGGGGTACTACAACACCCTTTCTCCAGCCCGCTGGTGTTTTTTTCGTAGCGATTGCACCTTGACAGACACATGTAAGTCAGAGCATGACTTGTTCGAATACTGATTTGAACGTATCAGGGCGGACTTTATCGAATCCCGCAGCCTCTCCACTTTTCATTCTTTTCACAGCTTGTGTGATTCTTTTACCGAAATAGTAATATCCGTTCCTTGCTGCTCTACAGCCTAGTCTCCTTGCGGTTGCTCGGGATTAAAGAGTACCTTAAGGTACTCTCTGCATCGCCGAAGAATATCATCTTCCGTAAGAGGATGTTCAGATCTGGTTTTCAGGACTCTTAGACCGCACTTCTTTTCACATCTGAGCCCGCGAATGATCTACCAGAATACCTTGTTCGCCGTCTGGAAATTCGACTCCAACTTTTCACGAACTTCTCTTAGGAATCAGCTTTTTCTTTCGCCACTGTTTTCGCTGCCTCCTTACACGTTTCTTCATATTTCATACAAGTTGAAGGCTCTTCGGTTGCAACTAGTCTCTTCAGTCGAGCCTTCTTCTCGTGACAGCCAGTTGTTCCTGTCATGTCCACCAGAAATTCGTTTCTGACTTCCAGGTGGCAGACTAACCAGTTTGAAACTGCAGCATTGACTGTAAACCCCGTATTAGCCATTCTTGAGAAGCTTCCATTGGGTTTTCACATCAGCGATCGTCACTGGGACCTGTTCAAACCGTCTTGCGATGTTGTTTACAAGTTACGCTCTCGTATCCGATGAAGGTAACGTTTTCTGTTTGATTCTTTCGTTGCTTCTGCCACCAGATCGTCGCATGATACTCCATTTCTCGCAGCATACCGTGTGAACAGCAAGGTGATGATCAGTTGACAGCTCTGCTTCTTTCTTAACGCGAACATCCATTACAAAGCGTCATAGTTGAGACTGTGCAATTATCAAATCAGTCATCGACGTCTGCTCACAAGCTGCATACACCACTATGCTACTTGCACCAATAGTCGCTTGGATGCTCGAAGAAATAGGCGTTGTTTTAACAAAACCGTGACACGTTGTTCATGTTATTATTATTGACGTCGCTTTGGCTGTTCCAATTCCAGTCCCGTCTTTCTGTTTTTCGGTGTCTGCTCGGAAGGTGGACTGAATTCGCCAGTTAGAATGATGAGTTCCTTGGTCGACAGTACGTAGAGATAGTCTTGCACTTCTTCAAGGAATCATATTCTCCCTCCAAATTTGGCGCATATGTATTTAATAAGGTCTAAGCCCCCTCTTTACGATATAAGCCCCATCTTTATGAACTTGTGACGGATGACTTTAGTTGTTGTATCTTCAGTCGGAAGGATGCCACTCTTCTGATATTCTTCCATTCAATAATTCTGTCAGCCAGGTTGGGTTCTGTAACAACAACAACACCGATCTGAGCGAGCGTCGTGATGTTGACACCTTTATAGAATAGCTTCCATCTGCAGAGGTTAAGAATTCTATAGCCTTGACGCTTCCTTGACGAGAGTCCAAGCATGTCTAGTTATTGCCTTGCGGCATCATTATATTGCTCCTGCTCTTTCGCTCTGAGTGAGGATATTCCAGTTTCTGACTGACGCTCGCAATGTCGGTGTAGTTCCTGTGAAGCCTTATTTGACTCGCTGTAATGGCATTGCGCTGTTTTTCTCCGTTCAG